CGCCTCAAGTTATTTTTCTTTTTTATTTTCGATTTGAGTCGACAAGTGAACAATTAAATGCATTTTGTTTTTTGCCCTCTCAAGCTAGCTTGTACATCTATTTTGCACTTGTTTCGGGTTTTGTCTCTCTCTCTCTCTCTCTCTCTCTCTCTCTCTTTCTCTCTCTCTCTCGATGTAACCGACTTGACTAAATGCCAAAGTTATTTTGCAAGCGACTGAGAAGCTGCATTCGGAGAATGAACGGTGATTTAAAGTGAATTGTTTTTCATGCCGTTGCTTGCGAGTGAGTGAAAGAAAATTCAATGCAAATACCATTTAAATACATTCATTTGCAGCGCATTCCACTTGCTAACCTCAAATTTTCCATCGACGTAATGAAAACTGATCGATTGCATCGAATATTGAGAGTGACAATACGAAACATATAATATTATATTCGAAAAATAAAACCGATCACATTCAGTTGAATGCAGCAAAGACTTAATGTCACCGCTATTCGTCATCCCTCCCCTGTTGATTTGATATGATCACAGAACTCTTTCAATTATCAAACGTATTTATTACAAACAATTGTTTACGGCTCGCACGCGCATTTATTTATGCAATCAAATGGAATGTTATATTCCCGCACAAAGGCGTTAGTTACAATGCTTTAATTTTTTTCTATTCGACGGCATATTCGTTTGATTCACACTGTGATTGTATTCAATTTTATGAATCAATCAACATGCTAAAATGGCCAGAATCATGATTCATATGGGAAAAATACTTAACTTAACATATTGGCGGAAAATTACAGTTTCGAATCGAGAATTAATTTGAATCGGTTGGCAAAATGTAGTTTAGATGCAGTTCGATTGCTTCGAACAACGTAGAAAATTAATTGAGTTGAAGAATTCTCCGAATAGTGCGATTGATCATTAATACATGGCTAATTACTTACTTCATACGTCATATGACGACACCGCAAATGAGCTACATTCAACTAGATGAGAACGGGGCATGCAACAGCTAGAGAAGCAAAAAAACGCTTGTGCACTGCACATTTTAATTATTTTGCATGCCTAGATTGCATAGATCACTTTATGGCCCCCGTATGACGTTGAAAGTACACGAAAAAAAACACAGAAATAACTAGTCACACTGTCTGCAAACGTGATTGAAATGAATCAAGTCAATGGATTTACGTTAGTTTCCACTGTTTACTCGGTTTTGCAACCGATATGCATACAAAAATTTGTTTATGATTTACAATTAACCGCAAATTTATAAGACAAGAAACGGGTGACTCTTTTTTTCATTCGTTTCAAGTGACATATTTTAATAAAAATTATCACCATTTGCCTTATAACTCATAGGTGATTGACGGTGATACTAATATACATACGAATTGAAATGGACAAAATTCATAACGACTTAATTTATATAAAAAAAAAACAAAAACGAGGAAAATCATATTACGTGCTTGTTTGTCACATACAACCAATATGAGTAATGGATCCTCAAAAACCCAGTTAGAATGCTAAAAAAAAAACATTTCAATTGAAATATGATACGAATAAATGTTTTTCTTCACTGAATAAAAAAAAATGTCATATTATTTCTTGTAATTGCAATGTGCTTTGTCATTTGTCAGTCGAAAACAGTGCATACAAATTACGTTTAGTAATTATTGCAGTAATTTTTCCGATTCTTTCGTCACCTTGATAATTTTCCAAAAAAAAATGAAAGTCGCATGTTGATGCGGCAGAGAAACATGAGTTGCAGTTATAAAGTTCTATTCTTGATTCAGCAATATTTTCCAACGGTGATGAAAGACACAAAATAAATAAAAAAGTGGGGGTCAATCTCTTTCTCTCTTACGACGTAGTTTTAAATGAGTTTTTTTCTGTTTCTCTATGCAAATATTACAAATGAGAAAACCGAATGCGAATGTAATAAATACCGACCGGTTCCAAGTAAATCGAACAATTTGAAAAAAAAAAAAAATATATAATCTGCCGAACGAGTAAAAAAAAACCACACACACATTTTGCCGAACGCTTTAATAGTTTCGATTCATTTGTACGCTAATATGCGTATCGAATATGTGGGCAAAATTGTACAAACAAGCCATAAGCGCATACACGCGTACTCACACAGTGACACCGAGTTGGGTCTGAATGCGGGGCATGAAAAAAATAAATAAATAAAATTATAATAAAATGAGAAACGAAAACAACAACAGCAAGAAGAGTGCTTGAAGCGCAACAGCAACATCGATTACACATTCCGTACCGCGCTAACACATTTACAATAATAACAACAGAAAAAAAAAGCAGCAGCGATAAAGCGCGCATAGAATAAAACGAGACAAACAAACCAAAACAAGACGGATCCGAATCACACACACAGCACACACATAATGCGCAAATTACAACGCTCTCGAGATTACCATATAAGTGGGTCTGCGATTTATGGCAGACATTCAGTCGCCGACTAAATATCATAGAGAGAACAACTCAACTATTGAGAGAAAACAAAAACACAAATCGTTGAAAGATCAATTGAAATTTTCATTTTGAACGAAATAATTACTTGAACTAAAGAAAACAACTTGTGTATAAATATTCTAAGCAATTCGTTCAAAACGATTCAGTTATTCAATAGATATTCGTGTTGGAAGAAAAAAAATTAAAAAACGAAACAACATTTCTTTTCGAAAAGTCGATTCAAAAAGTATTTGAGAAAGATTCAAAAAACGCGTACTCGCCAAGGCGGAAGACATTGTAAAGTTCATACATATATTCATTTCGACGCAACGAAAGACAAAAAAACGACAACGTCGTCTTTAACGTAAACATACAATCGCGGTCCGTATCTTTCTCCTTTAATATTTTTTTCATTATCTGCGACGTAGCAGCAACCGCCAATACACACACGGAGAGAACCAATTGACTGCAGCAGCAGCTTACGAATCGAAGCGAGCAACCAGTGCTATATAGAAACACCGAGCTGGGGAACGATTTGCCATTCAATCGCAAAGCGAAGCGCAAACCAAGAAGACGTATCCACTGTTACGTGCGAAACAAATAAAAAAAGAGAAGAATTTTTGAACTGAAGCAAAATAAAAGCAAATCGTGTTGAAATCATTTTACACTGAAAAAATTGAACAGTGACAGAAAAAAAGAGATAAATACTCAAGAACTGAAATTATTGTGATTTTGCTATTAAGTTGAACATTATCTCAAAATAAAAACTCGTTTTAAAATCGTTGTAAAATTAAAAGAAAAACCTGAACATTTGCTACAACAAAATACACTTTGAACGAACAGTATTATATATCTTGACACAGAGAAACAAAAAAAAACGTGAAGTTTTAAATTGAATAGCAGTAAGAACTTGTGATTCTATCAATAAAGAGAAAAAAATATAACAGAATTTTTAAATTGAACAAAACGCAAATACGCGAAGCAAAAAAAAAGAAGGAAGAAATAAATAGCGAATAAATTTGTTCATTTTCTTGACAAATAAAAAAACCAGTTATAAAAAAAGCAAAATACAAATCGTTTAACACTGCAATCACAAACTGCAACTGAATAAAGCCCAAGAGAAGAAAAATCGACGATATATAAAAATACACATTATTATAATTATCATTCTCGTTCGCGACAACGACAAGCAAAGCAAAACTAGTCAAGGCTATACCAGAAAAAAAAAACACTCACATCAATTTTCGCAACAAAACTGCTCGCGAGATACACAAAAGTGCACAAAATTTTAAAATTATTAAAACAAAATAAAAGCGATAGACTTTTGTGAACAATTGAAAATAAGAGAGAAGAAGTGACGAGTCGCCCAATCTAATCGTTGTTGAACTAAAACATTCCTGATAAGCGTTATCAAGCACTTCAAGAAAGAAATAACAGAGAAGCAGCCACAAAAGCAGTAATTTTGAAAAGCAAAAAAAAAAAACTGAGAATTTTAATTTAAAAAAACCCATACCGAATGAAGTGCTGCACAAATACCGTTCAAAGTAACACAGCCAACATGATTGATACACTCACATACAATCCACAGCCAGAAAATTGGCTGTACGAAATTCGTCAAAAGGGCCACGACAGCACCTGCTACGTTATGGTTCCACACGCAAGAGTAGGTGTCTTTTATTTTCGAAACGCATTTTTGTTTTGTTTTCATTTTGTCTTTAATCATCTCGTAAAAAGTAATATGTCCATTGCATATATGATTCGAAAGAGCGAAAAACCAAGCGAGCATACAAAGAAAAAAAGTTATGCGAAATTTGTTTACACGTGCCGAACAGATGAGGTTGTTTTGGTTTTCCAGCTCTTGGGATTGGTGGAGAGATGGAAAACGCAATTTATCGAACGCAATGCCGTAGTGCGCATGTTTCTTATCCAGAAAATGTGTTTATTGAAGCGAATTTTGTAAACAAAGTTTGTTTTGCCGCATTTTTTCCATTCTCCCGAGGGGGGGGGCGATAGAGAAAATGGGAAAAACAAGTTGTTTATGGAAAATTGAACGGCACGTGTACGCAATATACGCATAATATTTTGGAAGCGGAATTTTCCGACGAAAACACTTCCTGATTCGGTTGTAAATGGGATGGCATTAGATGCGTAGTATTTTACACGATATCTAAATGGTCGAATTTCATGCCGAAAAACATTCACTTGAACATAAGTCGCAAAATCGAACCAAGAACCTTATTCAACTTGGCACAACTTGTCATCTATTTTTAATCGGTGTTCTGGTTCTTTATATTTTTTTTCGTGACTGCCTTCTTGGCATTACTCGTTTCGAACGAGTCCTAAATGAAAAAACGACGTTGTTATATATATTGTATTTTTCAATGAACTTTAAGTCAATGAGTTTGCCATTTCTGTTCAATTATACTTGTTAAGCATAGCATTCAATCAAACAACAACAATATACAATAATTCGTATTCAATTCAAATGTACTAAATAATTTTTTTCTTTATTTGTTCGTTTCATTGCAGGATCTTGTAAAATCGCATTTAATGTTCGCTGTGCGCGAAGAAGTCGAAGTACTCAAGGAGAAAATATCCGAATTGATGGATCGGATAAATCAGCTTGAAGTTGAAAATACGATATTGAAGGCGAATGCATCGCAAGAGACTTTAACAAAATTGACAACGGCCGCACCAACCAAAACAACACATACTGCGACCAACTCAAACCCATCAAATGGACCAATTTCATAAGCCGTGTTCATAGCACAAATGCACAATATCATAAACATACTCTCACACGAAAACAATGGGACAAACAATTCTTAATTGATGCGCCAAATCAACAAAAAAATATCTATATATAAATATGCGCTTTCGTCGTTTTTCCCCTTTCTCTTCGCCGAAAAATATCTATCAAAATGAATGAATGAGAAATGATTTATCGCAAATTGTACTAGAAAAATCCAAACACACCATTTGCAAACAATGTTAACGAATGCTCGACTTAGAAAAATGATCACTGCTTTCGATTGAATTGCGAACGTTGAGATTTTAATTTGCATCAGCGGAACAAAACCACCATCATCATCATGAGAATTATATTTTTTTAAGTTTTTCGGCTTTTTTTGGTGCAACAAAAGAATATTTGCGATAACATAACAAAAAAACAACACATTTGCTTTTGTATCATTCACAACTGAAAACATTCGCATATCCATTGAAGCAACATAGGCATTGAATGAACAAGCAAATATATTTGATAATTTTTTTTTGTGATAATTTCTCCAACAAAAATTGAAGATTTTTAAATGAACACGGCTGGACTTTGATGATGCCAGAGACAAAAAGACATACACACAAACACATTCACACAACAGTTCTCGACTAACAGGACGTGTGATAAGCAGAAGATAGGGAAAATCTTTTGTGGTCGCCAATTTTTTTTGTTCGGCTGGGTGTTTCACATGCACACGCACACACACACACACACACAGCAGTGTTGGATGTGCAGCAAAAATTTATACATGGACGATATGTGGATGACATGAATTCAGCTGCCACAATCGATCAGCAACATTATGCAGAATACGTTCAACGTCTGACAAAAAGATGGGAACGATTCTATTTTGCAAATAAGAACCAACAAAATGATTAAATAAAAATGAACATAAATGAGAAAAAAAAAACAATATTTGATTTGTAAATTATGAAAATCCAAGATATAAAAAAAGAAACAATATATTTAATTGAGATTGTATTGTGAACACCTGATCGACGTGTTAGACTGCAATAATATAAAATGTTGATAGTTTAATTACTACTAAAAACTTTCGCAATAAGATTCAATAACTTATTATTTAAAATGTATAATGATATTAAGATTGAGAGCTAATAGAAAGGAACCACATCCGAAAAAAATACAACAAAATAATAAAAAAAAAAATTGAACAAACTACATAAAATGAACTGTAATTCATATTAAATATAATATTACTACCATTTTCTGACGAATCTGACACAGTCTTACACACTCAAGCAGCAAATAATATTGTAAAACTTTTATGAAAACAAACAAATAAGCAAAATAATAATAGCACATTCATGCAAATTTAAAAAATCATTTTTTTTTCTCTGTCCGAAGTCATTAAAAAAAGAATGAAGAAAAAAACAACACATACATAGATTTAATTTCTGTTAAAATACTATATGTTACTGATAAATTAATACTATTTGAAAAAAAAAGAACATATTCTTTGTGATGCATTAGAAGTCAATAAAAAAATGAAGAAAAAATCTGTAAAAAATATATATGTCTATCTAAAAGTCCAATCAGACAAAAATCAAATGAAATTTCGTATTTTTTTTTAATTCTTCGTCCTTATCTTATTTTCCATTTCAGAGAGTTTTTTTAAATAGTTCACAGGAAACGCGTTAATTTTTGCGAAGTTTTTTTTTATGTCGCCTTATGTTCTTCATGACGGATTTCAATTTGGAAAATTCTTTTTATAATTTTTCACATTTTTATACGAATTAATGCAGTTACGTTTTTCATGTGTCCGAATTTGATTAAAATAAATAGTTTTTTCTTTCATTTGTTCCATTTACTCAGCAATTCACAAGCAGCTCATGCAAATTGAAGCATTTGTAATTAAATCCTATTTCGTGTTTGAAAATGGTTTTTTCCCTTTATGTACACGAACACCGTAGACCAATTGCAATTCATATTTGCTTTCTATAAACATAAATGTGAATTTTTATTTTATTTAAAATATGTCACGTAATGTGTGCTGGTATACTCATTAAATGTGTCATTTTTTCGATCCATCTATTTTTAAATAATTAAAAAAAGGAAACGACACACACTTGGCACCAATTGCTTGTGGATGAAATGGTTTAGTCCGATTTCCGGTGAATCATGAGAGAAATTACCCGATTTGAAACAAAATCATATTGAGAGAAAAAAAATGTGAGATTGGTTGATAGGCAAACAAAAAATCAAAATTGAAAACGAAATGAATGTACATTAATAAAATTTAAAATGATAGCAACATGCGATTGAAAAAAAAAGTAAAAATAAAAATGAATCAGAATGGCTGTGTGAGTAAAGAAGAAGAAGAAAAAGAAACAGAAACGAAAATAATAAAATATTCTGTAGTAAAAAAATATCTAATGGATGTTAATTGTACTATTTATTGTTTCACACCGTAAATAAAAAATAATAATGGTATAAACTTTTAAAACAGAAATAAAGAGACATTAGAAAAGCGATAAAAAAGAAAACAAAGAATAGATGATGACGATTTTGTTTTTCGTTTAATTCACGGAATAATCGTTTACAACAAATTATCTATTTTATTTTATTTTTTAAATATATATCAAGAAAATAAATTTAAAAAAAAGCATTCACACATACTAAATTATCCATGTAATATTTAGACGTGTAAGAAAAATATGCATTCGATCTAAGCATAACATGGAATAAATAATAATAATAAAACTATATCTACTAAAAAAGTCAGCGTTTCATCTTCTATGGCTTAGTTTTCATACACTCAGCAGATTTTGGTGACAAACAAAATGGAACATTCTACATAGGTAACGATGGACGTAATTTTACATACAATCATTTGCAGCACATCAGTCACGTATACGCCTGAATGTATACTTCCCATAAAAGCTTTTATGCTTCGTTGAATTGGAACAATATATACACTACGTAAATGATTCTTTTGTGTATTAAACGTTTAAAATACATAGTTAATGTTGTAAAAACTTTAGTCTTATTTTTTTTAAACAATAGATTTATAATTTCTTTTGATAAAAAAACTGTGTATTTTCCACGATTCACGCCACCTTTTATACCCACCAGACGTTTTTTTACTCACATTTCAATACAAATAAAAAGATATAATTATGTCGCCAGCTCTTTATTCGAATAAAAAATGTTAAAAAATACTTAAAAAAAGAAGAGCTATTTGTTCGCCGTAACGATTGAATTGTAAAACAAATAGAAAATTTACCTTCGGAATTTTTTTAATAACACATGTGCCTGTAGAACGTATATAATACATTCAACTCTAACTTATTGTAAACAATGTTATTAATAATCTGCCACTGAACGCTTTGTTTTTTGAAGTATTATTCATTTATAAGCCTAACACTCGTAAGAATCTGTATGAGCAGTGCAAAATTGATTTCGTTTAGTCGAAAATTAACTTGATACAACATCTAAAAATGACTTATTTTGAAATAGACCGAGAGCTGGTGGGAAAAGATCTATTATTTTTGCTTTATGTCAGGAAACTATATTAAACCATGCACTAACTCCCACTCGCGAAATCTGCACTATTATTATAAGAATTGATATTTTTCTCATTCCCCTTTTTGGCCAAGTTTCAGTGCCCCATATGGGGTCAAATCTTTACAAAGTCGATTTTAAACTTTTTTTGGTCCGGAATTTTTAAAAAAACGTGGATGAGAAAAATATGAATTCTAAGGTAATTTTGCATGCTGATTCCGAATTTCGGGGTTTCAGGTAAAAAAAAAATCACACCTTGGGGGTTTTTGAGCCCCGACCCCCATAAGGGGTGAGGGGACTTGAAGGGCAGGGATCCTAAAAAAACCAATGTAATTTAACTCATATTTTGAGCCATATAGAACACCAGGTAAATTACTATGTAAAATACATTTGAGCTTTCTCAAGATAAAAACAATCATATTTGACACATTGCAAAATTGATTTCGTTCAGTCGAAAATTAACTTGATACAACATCTAAAAATGACTGATTTTGTAATTTAACAAGATGATGACTTTTCATTTATACATATGTTGGATTCGCTCAATAGCTAGGAATAAATTTATTAATTAGATAACTGTTTTTTTTTCTGGATAACCTCTTTATTTTTTAAAGGATTTAATCTGTTCTGAATTTTATTACAAATATCAAAAAAACATTTCCTTTATCAGATTAATGCCCGTAGATTTTTACGTCAGCTCGGAAAACTTTGGTCTGTTTAACTTCGATACAGAATGTAATTTTATTTTGCCCGATTCCACCATCAGTTACGTAAGCAATTCCAGTAGAGTTAGACGAGTGTTCAACGATGACTTCGACATAGGTGATTTTCACTCCGATGACTGACATTGGGAACATATTTGGATACTTCATTTCGGTTTTGACATCTTGTTCAGATCCAGTTTCAAGTAAATTATGAACATATTCATCCAACAAACGATCACCTAAAGTTAAAAATGTAATGTTAATAATGATTTTTCCAAATATAACTATTCTTCTTTTTGCGGCTATTCGGTGTAGCTTTCGTTTTACACTTACCATTAACACGATGTCCAACAGTAAATGTATGTTTAGTAGTAAGGGTAACGTCAATGTCATCACCGCGTGGTGAAATTGAGCTAGCAAAATGTACCAAGTTATTGGTATTACTGGGAACGGCAATCAATTTAACACCGATATTACTCGAAGTATGATTATTACAAGTCACCGATACGAAAAAATTGGAGACAACGCAAAGTGTCAAATATGTCAAGATAATTGGTAATGATGCCATTGAAACAAAGGTTTTGTACTTCTAGAAGGATAGATATATGCAGAAATGGAATCGGAATTCGTATATTAAATACAACGTTGATATTGTGAGTTTTTATTGAAGAAAACTTTAGTCTTACAAATTTAAAATACAGTAGAATTATAATTCCATTTGATAATGAAAAAAAAACTGTGCCTTTCCAAACGATTAGTGCCACCTTTTATACCCCCCAGACGTTTTTCTCACATTTCAATGTAAATAAAAAAAAGATAAAGTTTATTTAACTGAATGATTGAAGAAGTTTTACACGTGTAGGATCATTTTATAATTAGGTCACCAGCAACTCAGTTAAAAAATACTTCTGTTGTAAAAGTTATAGAACAAATAGAAATCGTCTGAATTTTCGTAATTAGCTTATTTTAAATATTGCATGTGATATAATCGTGTTAACAACACAACTCTTTAGTGAAAAAAGGTGGCACCCAAAAATAAATGATATTTTCGAACACACGATTATTTATCACAAATCGATGAATTTAATCGTTAGATTATCTATATTTCAAACTTGTACAATTGTACATAGAACATTGTTATATAATAATGATAAGAAGTTTTAAATTAACTTTTATAATGCGTGTCATACGTGTCATTTGGCACGTATTCATTCTGGTGATACCAAATTAATTTTGAACCCAAATTGGTAATTAGACTAAGGTTTCACAAGAGTTTTTATCCAAATTCGAGAATCTTCTTTAATATACGAAATCAATTTCAGTTTGATCATTATCACTAGTGATCCGATAGAACTAGATCACCAATTTGCCACCGATATAACGCTTCAAGATTGGAATAACAACAGCTTATCGAAAACGTCTTGATTATGAAGGCATCATATCACATATGAGAGGCTGAGAGTAAAAACAGCACTTCGCATCTCATCTCTTGCTCAAACTTACGGGAATTTCTGTAATCAAGAGAAGGAGGTGGGATGCGACGTGCTATTTTTGCTCTCAGCCTCTCATATATGATTTAAATAACCGCAACTATTTCACAAAATCTGTCGATACAGTTCAAGAGTAGTTTTTTTCACCATGTATGTAGATTGAAACCATGAAAAGACATGTCACACCAAAAAATGCATCATTTTGGTTGAAACGTAATTCGAGAACAACTGGATATTAATCGATCATTATACATTAAGAGCTCACAGTGGTCGCGTTAAAGATTCTTTCCCAATTCCTAATAATCCCCCAAATTATCATTGATCTGTATTTTATTTCCAATTTCAGACTAGGATTTGCGCTTTTCAAATGAGGCTTACAGAGGCGAATATAATGGTCAATTTTTCAAACTTATCTTTTTATTACCAAAAATCAATAAGACCATCAAATATATCAATTTGATGATAAATGAAAAGAAAATTCACATTATTAAGTAAATTGAAAATTATATTGTTTGAAATTTAAAAAAAAAAATCTCTTTGCGTAAAAAGACGAATTTTTAGATTGTTCTACGTTTCATTCATTGTCAGTGCGGATTTTTTGTGCTTATTTAGAATAGATAATCAAACAGATAATAAAAATATGAATTGTGATTTGACACTTCCAAATGTTCTGTAGTTTATTTCATTTGATAGAAACAAGAGATAAAGTAAGTATATCTTTTTTGTTAATTTTTGTATACGAATTTTAAAAGTTTATATTCAAAACCGTAAAAATGTAAGTTCAAGGACTTGTTGACTTCATTGTATCAAACACCAAAGTACAATCACTCACGTTAAGTACTGATGTGCGCCTGAAAATATACTTACTACTCATTCTTCTCACCTGTATATAAAAAAAGCATCTTTTATACGATACGGAGGGTTACGATATTGTTATTTTTTCTTTGACCAAATTCAAATGCTAAAATCGAATCGAAGCTATTCACGGAATGTAATAATCATGCCCCTTTTCAAATAAAGACATCAGAAGCAAGAAAAGAATACTTAGTGAATCAGCATTATTTTGCACTTTGTTTTTTTATCAAATCACGGTCAATTTTACGCTACAATTTTGAATTAATCGACTTTTATGGTGAATTTAAACGTTTTTTCGCCCTGTGGGTGCTTGAAAGAAGTCTATTGTTCTATTCACGTGCTAATTTTCTATTTTGAGAACCATTTCACTATCTCATAAATCTTCGGTTTCTATTGAATTTGACGAATATCGGCTTTTGCTGTTTTTCCTATAAAGGTGGAGAATGCACGTTGAGTTGAAGTTATGAATAACCAAAAAGTTAATCCTTTTGAAATAACCGGTTCTTGTTGAAAGGAATCATTTTGAATTTTCATTAAAAGTCTTCTTGATATTGCCGCTATATAAGCTATCAGTCAATAGTTTGAACTCACTTGGAATAGAGACTGCTTCAAGATTAAATATCTTATATTATGGGCCAATAAGTCACCTTTTTTTAAAGTTCATCAAGGAACTCCGTTATTTGATGTATTTAATTAGGTGTTTGTTTTAAAAATGTTGCGATAGAAAATGCCTTAAGGTAAAATCTTCACTCAATCAAATTATCAATACTTTGTATGTTTTCAAAGGAAGGCAATTTAAAAAAAAAAACAAATCCTTCCGCCGAAGTTTGAATGATTATCCAAAAACCAATAAGCTACCAAAGATGATGATGAAAACGTGTGTTATTCAACACATAAAATATCTGCACCTCTTTCGCTGAATGATGTGCTATACCGTGCGTTGATAACTTCATATAATAAGAAAATTTCGGTAATATCGTGTTTGTTTTAACAAAACCAAAGTGTTAATTTAGCTAGTACGTGATTCGTGAAGAAAATTGGCAAAGTCGTCGTCATCGCGGTGCGGCAATAAACGTTATCATCACCATCACGTACGTGCTTAACATTTCGAATCGATTTTTTCTTACTGCTTCTTCAGTTAATGTGTTCTGTTTCCAAAAAAAGTTAAGTTCGTCTTTTAGCAAATAAAATCGAATTTATTTCGCGTTCCGCAGAAAAAAAAGTAAATTAAGTTATGGGACCATAAACACATTGATTAAGGCTGAGGATAATCTTTAAGACGGTTTATTTCAGGAATCGTTTTGTAAGCCGATTATTATAAATTTCATCTTATTTCACATGAAAATGAAAGAAAATCGAGAGATAATAGTGAGATTGATTAATAAGTAACTTATAAACAGTGTTTACCTCAAATTGAGCAAACACAGCAAGACGTATAATAATTCGAAACTTATTTACCGTGATTTAATTTCCGATTTCATGAGAAATTTGTTGTTGTTTCCTTCCTTTTTTCCAATTTCTCACTCTCATTTTGGGAAAACTTGCATGCATAGAATCATGATTGTCTGCCGTCACACAATTATGTTTTGGTTTATATGAAACCATAATCAATGTGTAGTAAGGTTTTTGAGATAGAAGAGTGAGAGAGAACGAGCGTGTAAGAGAAAGAGTAGTAGAAAGAGACTTTCAGGAAGAGAAAATCTCATGGCGCAATGGCATAACAAACAAATTATATCAAAAAAAAAAATTAATTTCGACAAACCAGAACAAATATGAAAAAATAAAGATCAAAATTGGAAGCCGCCCACAAAACTGTTGTTTTGTTGGTTCCTTTTTTAACATCGATATAAATCTGGAGCAATTTTTGTAATTCAGTTCACTCTCTCTTCGGTGAGAATAGGAAAAGAAATGTTAAAATCCAAAAATAAGCGAAACGTTTAACGAAAATTACTAGACAATGATGTGTTTAACCGCATACAATTTAGTCCACATCAAAAACCAGGGAACAAATTATTATCGAATTGAATGTGTTTCGAAGTGATTTTTTATTTCGTTCTACTCAAAGTAAAAGTACCTCATCATAGTTGGGTGAAAGAAAAAAAAAAACACGAAACTTCCTCTGCGACTGTTGTCTTTTACAATTTGTTTTCCTCTCGAAAGATCAGCAAGACACAAGGATATCACGCAGCTATTAAACCTTTTTTTTCTTCGTCTTTTTCAAAAATTAAATGCATGATAAACTCTCGTAATATTAGTGCTAATATATATCGAGTTAAGAAAAGTGTGCTGTTGGTAGCGCACACACGAAACCATCATCATTATCTATTGATCCTTTGGCATGATGAACCGAAAGAGAGAGAGAGAGAGAGAGAGGAATTATGTTTCATTTTGATAAAGTCAATTATGCGAAGACTATCAATTGAGAGGGCCCTCTTGAACCACAGTGCGTTTTATTTAAAAAAAAAATACTATTCATTGGATTCGCTTGTTACTTACATAGAACAAAAAAAATTATGATGAAATGAATAAAAACGAATTGAAAAGGTTTCGATACATTTTGGATATGAGAGGTAGGTATTGCGTATTCGATGTTCTATGCATATTCCATCTTTTTCAAATGCTTGTGAAGAGGCCTCAGATTCGAATGCACAATAGGCAATGCCCGTCAAAACAGGTAGGATGTGATGGATATTTAAATACACTTCAATTTATCGCTTGTGCTTTGAGCTTGAATGCACAATCACGCAAACAATAATCACTTAAGTTAAGAAATTCTGTGTGCAAATCTTTGTAAAGAGAAAAAAACTGACATAATATTACGATCAAACGAACACAAAAAAAATCATAATTTCAAAACACATCAATTTAGTGATTATTGTTTGGGATGAATGTTTGTTATTGTGCACGATTTTTATATGCACCTGAAACACACACTTTTAACGTGCGAATACACACTTCGGTGCAAAAATGTCTGCGCTTGAAAATCGTTTCATTTTGTTTCTTTTGACAAGCTGGCTGAGAAGAAAGTTTTTGTTTGAAATATTGGCATGGAAGAAACTTTACCAATAATTTGACTGCAATTTTCCATAATCTACGGACATCAAAGTAACATCAATAGCAGTAGTACTATACTACAAAGTGTGTGAATACATAAAATGACACATAATCAAAGATGAAAAATACCACAAAAACTCATTTTTTTGCACTAATTCAGCGTGCAATGTCCGATTTGTAATGCAGTTAATAATAGATCAGTCAAATCGGCATCCTTGAACAAAGGCCAAAACACCAAGAAAACATTTAACGTGGGTTGTGCAGAAACCGTTTAAAAACGTTTATGTTGCCCTGTAATTTACGATATAG